ACCAATTGGGGCTCTCCCTTCACCATCCCCATGGGGATGAACTACGGGATTCATAATTACTCAACTTACTACATGATGCTTACCTAGCCATCGTTTAGATCCGGCTCTACCCAAACTTTTCTGGTTTGCCCCAACATTCCCTACTTGTCTAACCGTTGTTGAGTAGATTTTGGATATCAAACGTACTTCTTTAAGAAGCGATCCCATTTTTTTCATCGGGTCCGGTTATGTACAAGGATTATTTTAATCACATTAATATGGTGGTGGATTTAATTGTGACTATGGTTATTCTTATTAAAGAAAAAAAGAGCAAATTTAAGTTTAACTTGAAGGAAATTAATTTTGAATGTTTAGGTTGTTATTTTTTAAACATTTTTGGCACTTTGTGTTCTTTTGATTATTAGTTTTAGTCAATACCTGTGAATTCTACCGAGTGTCCAATATCAATTTGGCTAACATATTGTTCGTCATATCGAGAAAATTTATATTTAACGCTGTGACCTTAAAATCTTGGATTTACCGAAAAATGCACAGTTTTTACTTTTTTATATTTTTCTCATGATAGTAGTGCACTGTCCATATTTTTTCCTACCTATGCGATTGCAATTACTGTGTTTCAATAATACATGATAACGTTTCATTCACATGGAATTATATATTATTGACCATTGTTTACTCATAAATTTTTTGTACTTGCCACACGTACACAACATTTCTTATATATTGTGCGTATATATTTCAAGCTGTGACCTTAAAATCATCGCTTTTACAGAAACATGTACAATTTTTACTCGTTTATAACTTTCTCATGATAGTAATGCACTGTCCATTATTATGCAACATATGCAGTTTAAGTAGTTGCGGAAACAATTTATGTTTCAGAAGAGATATAGGAGATCTATTTTAACTTTTATTCTATCTATAATTCTATATTATGTTTTAGTATATATGCATCTTATATTCTAATCCAGCTAGGGAATTAACGTAATGGTAGGATAATAATTTCCCTTTTTATTATTTTTTATTTCAATTTTGGTTCCTTTTGTCGATAGGATAGCACCAGTATTTATATGAGGATTGGATTTTCCATAGTGCATGCGGTTTTGTTTCTTAAATCAGTTCATACATTTCCATTTGTCATGCTTTATATTCAATCAGTATGTACACTTCTCATTTATATTCCCAATAAGAAATATTTACAAAGATTGTCCT